TTTCTTGTTCATTTCATGATCTTCTAGCTGAGTCTTTGTCCCAATTTGGATCGGTGGTTTTGTGGCATTTTGGATCTACATTTCAATTACATAGTCTATCTTCTTCAGCAGAGTTTACAAAATTTCAAAGGAGAAAATGAAAAAAAAAGAAAAAAAATGTGATCTTTCAGCTAGCTGCTATCTACATTCTTTTTAACCTACATATAGTTGATTATTGAAATTCTGATGATTCACTATTGTTTGATCCCAAATAATACTGAAAACAAATTATTCACACTCTTCAATTTTCAGCCATTTACTTTACTATCTAATTATCACATTTAAATCCAGCAAAATTATTTGATCCAAAATGGACAGGGATGTAATCCAACTCCAATGGAGATGGGGGGCAACATCACCCCATGCTCCTCCCGTAACCCGAGCCCGCCGTCCTCCTACTTCCCCAGCCCGGCCCACGACAATGGGCCTACCCAACCCCAGTTGGCCTTCCTCCGGATTTCCAACAGCGCCCCCGTGACCCCACCCCCCTCATCCCCCACTCGAGACTCGTCCAAGCACGGGGTTTTCAACCTCGAGGCACTCGCCAAGGAGGCCCTCAAAGTCCCCTTNNNNTCGGCACCCGCCAGCCCGGGCCGGGCCCACCATTGGTTCGCGCCCCCCACCATCCCTGAGTGTGACGAGTACTCTGAAACGTCCACTGTGGACTCGGGCCGGTGGATGAGCTTTCGGGCTTATGCATCGGGCCCGTCCTCGCCGACATTCAACCTCGTGAGGCCCGGAGAAGCCCAGCCAGAGGGCCCGCCGCCCGGAGGTGAAGACAAGGGAAAGGTGGTGGACTTCGGGTTTGAGGCGGTCAAGCCGTGGGAGGGGGAGATGATTCACGAGGTGGCCATGGATGACCTTGAGCTCACGCTCGGCAGTGGCAATGCTTGACCTTGAAATATTTGCTGCATTTTCTCCAAATTTTGTGCTTCATAGAGTCTGATAAACGGGAGATGAAGTTGGTCCATCGGGAAAATTTGGTATCTGAATCGAATTTTATGATTCTGGGTTGAATTAATACTTTGTTCAGTTGCCTTTTATTTTTTGTTTTGTTATAAGTGCTTCACCTGTCTGAAGGGATTTGGGGTCGATTCATTTACAAAAGCATATTATATTACATTGTAGATATTTTGCTTCTTTTCATTTTTATTTTTTCTTCTGTTATCCAAATTATGTTCTAGTTGTTGGTGGAAATTCAACAGTTTTAGGGGTTGCTAAATGTCTGGTTTATTTCTGTTTCTTTAACTGTAATTGCATGATTGTGTGCTTTTCCTGGCAATTGGTTGTGGCATGATAGCATGTTGTGAGATTCATTATCGTGGAGAAGTAAATTTGGTTGGATTATTTGTTCAAGTCTTTTCTACTGTTAGTAGCATGAAGGATATAGTTCATCTCAATTGATAATTGTATGATAAACTCATGTATGGATTCAGATTTGGTTATATGTTGGGCATGGCTGCAGTCCACATGTTATAATTTTCTTCGGTAAAATTAAACAACACCATAAACTTGTACCTTTCTGAGGCCGAGATGGCTCCGGGGTGAGATGAGTAGCAGCGCCGCCAATTGAAAAATTACTGCCCCTAGAACTTCTCACCGCCTAACTTCAACCGATTCGGGAACATGAACTACAAGTTATCCAATTGTTTCAGATACAACTTAGCACAGTCTTTGTTCGTTTCCTACTTTAGGCGTACAAAACTTGATTATGGAGATAAATAAAAATTACAACAATATGTTGTGAAGCAGAAGCCTCTTGTTTTTAAAAATTCAAATATTATTTACTATAAGTAATCTCTTCAAAGGAGAAGAAAACTTTTTGGCTTAGACAAACACCCGTACACATAAATTTGCAGAAAGAAATAGATTACAACTTATTTCACTCACAACTCACAAACTTGAAAAGAAAGATTACTCACAATTCACAGACTTATCGCAAATTTTATTCCCGGAGTGATAAAATTTAAGGGATTGCTCGTTGTCTTATGTTTTCTCTAAATTGTGTTTAGATAGAGGTTTAAAACCCTCTATTATTGCTTCTACCGACTGTAGGTGAGTGGAAGTTACATGTATTACATTTTCTTGGGTCCAATGGATTGAATTATTGTCCCAACTTTTGAAAAAGTTGTTCTTGACATGGTTGTTACCCCTAATGTCCTAATTGGTTGACTCTTTTCCTTGTGTAAAAGAATACTCTACAAGGAAAAGAATATTTTGACCCCACCATTTTTAAGTGGATGTCTTGCTTCTTTTTTGCTTTATTCTTTTTTGCAAATTCAGCTTTTTGGATTCTCCTTTTCTTAGGGATTTGTCGAGGTACAAGTTTATCGTAACTCTTACCGAATAATAGTTTCTCTTGATACTCACAACTTGGACATAGTTTTTTGTTCCATCTTCAAATGTGGATCACACTACACGATTTATGCTGTTTGTTCTCTGTTGCCAATAATCTACTTTCCCATAAGATTGTCATCTTATTTTCGAACATCTCGCATACAAATTTAGAAGTGATCTATGTCATGGTATTGAGTAGGAATGCTCCGTTGCGAGCATTTTGGTAAATTGTAAATTGATATTTAACCTCTCCATTTCTGTAAGACACACTCATATCCCTTGTGCACGCCTAGTTGAGATTTCCAATTGAGACATGGCTGAATATAATGTGTCATCTCTACTGTTTTAACCTGACTTAAGACCCTTTTAACTCGTGTTTGGAGCTTGATAAAATGAAAATAGGATTCCATCCAATTTTACATGTTGTTTCTAAAGCTATATATTGAATTTTAACCCCAACTTTATATCTTTTTAAATGTGGATTGTAATACCATGATTTGTGAACTGCACTAACAACCAATCTGGTGATTCGGATATTCTGTAATACATTATGAAGTTCATCCATCTTCAAACTTAAACAGGTCATACTCCATCAAATTCCCCAACACGTAGATATTTTCCTAATCATCACGGTAAGTTTGTCGGTCTGGACATCTCTTCTGGTTATTCGGTCTTCTATATTTTGACTATAGACCTACCAATGATAGTTAGGACTGGTAATATCAATCCCTTTTAGGTTTGTCTGTAGTTGGAGATTGATATATTTCTAATTTACCCTAGAGGTATTTGGTTGACTAGAAAATCTGGAATTGGTTCGTGATGTTCAATTTATTTTTATTTTTCCTTTTCC